AAAAAAAAATAGGGGGGAGGGGGAAGAGAAGGGAAAGGGGAGTAAAAGGGGGTCGATCAGAGAATTTTAATGTGTATTTTGAAAGAACAACGGAACTTCAACAAAACTGGGCGGACTTCAAGATACAGAGCTGAAGATTGAGGAGAGGTGAAAAATGAAGGAGAGAGGTAGGCAGGGAGCAGCGCAGAGATGGAGAGTTCCAGGGGATGAATAAGATACAGCCTATAGTTCTCTGCCGTACTTCGGAGGCTGTATTTCACTGCTTCTTTGGCTTCTGCTCTTGATTCTGCTGCAACGTTTTAGAGTGAAAACGAGCGTCATGATCGTCGTCCTGGTCGTCATCATCACTGCTTAAATCAATAGGGAGCTGAGAAGCAAAAAGGGGAAAAAAACGCAAGGAAGAAACCACATATCCGCGATTGGCGGCGACGCGCGACGTTCCGAGAGGCTCGAGAATAGTTGGGTCCATAGTTAGACGTGCTTATGGCGACAAGCGGTTGAAGGGCATGGCAGCCCGAGTTTGGCCGTTTATAACGGTCCTTGTTTTGATCGCCTTAATTCCAAATGTCTATCCACTGCATATCCTCGGTAATTTTCTTCTTCTTCTTAATGGTTTTTTTTTCCTGGTTGTTGTTGTTGTTGCCGTTGTTGCCGTTGTTTTCGTTATAGTTGTTCATCATCGGCATCATCATTATCATCACCACTGACCATCCAAATCATTATTATTTTCATCACCATCATCATAGTCATCATTACCATTATCGCCTTAAAAGTTTCCTCTCCTATAACGTCTTTATCATCATCCAAAAATTACTGTCCAAAAAAAGACAATGGTTTCCGTTTTTGTGTACTTTTGATATTCTCAAAGGTATATTACTCCAGATAAAGATAGAAGATAACAAAGTTAGATATTAAACAGGGAAAAAGGCAGACGAGCAAAAGAAAGAAAAAAAAAAAAGTGAAGAAAATGAAAAAAGTTAGCAAAGTGGAAAGTATTTGGAAATGTTTTTTGCATATATTTTTAACTTGTTTATTTGTTTATTTGCTTGCTTTTGGTTTAGTATTTCCTTCGGTTAAATTTTGTCATTTATGATCGTTAGTGGCAGACGGGCTGTAGAAGTTCAGTTTTTTAAATGTTCTTGTTCATATATTTTTTTCTGTTTCTATTCTTTGTTACAACTGAGTATCGTCGCAGATTTATCAGCTTAATTAGCTAAATTCTTCTATTGTTAGCTTTTTTTTATCTAGCTCTTTTTTTTTTTGTCATTGTCATTGTCGGTGTTAATTTGTTGCATCTTTTTTGATTTGTTAAAATTCGTTTACTGAGTTGGTCACTGGTCTGTTAACCAGCACTTATTCTTTTTACGCTACTTCTTTCTTTTTTTGGTTATAATAAAGATTGGTTGATAATTGATTAAATTAAATTGAATCTGCGCTGTGACGTTATTTTTTTTAGCGCTGATGAAGATCAAGCAAAGGAAAAAATTGAGCTTAAATTTTTTTTTTGTTCAAAAATAGAGTGCAATCATAAAGTTTGTGGGTTTAATGGCAAAATACTGTTAGAGCGATAACCTCGTTTAGTGTTCATAATAAACATTTGTATAATCTGTAATCAAAAAAAAAAAAA